TTAATAAATAATTAAATATGGATTTTGATTGAGCAATTAAGAGCACTTATTCATTTTTTTCTGCTGTTGCGGTTCTTGCCAATTTTTTTGTGCTTATGTCCAAACATATTTTGTCATCTTATCAAGTACGATAACGAATGGATCCTGACCTTGTATGCGTATATGTTCTTAGTCGACCGAAAAATATACTTTTCAAAATAAAGTATAAATATATGCATATGATGCACGTATATTTAAAGTATATGTATGTGTACTGCAACATTATCATTTTGTAGGTTACGTGAGATATGTGATCTGCCTGACATCTAGCAGCAAATTAAATGAAGTTGCAAGTATGCTTTGTCGTTCACTTCCTAATTGTCGCGAGAATATCTTGTTATCTTAACAATTTATTTGTAGCTACAATATATAATAAAGATATGTTTATAATATTCTTGTAATCTCCGGTTTGTTAGATTGAAGAAAAATGATGATTTTTCTTGCTTCTTCTGATCGAATAGATGGATGATAACAGGCTTCGTTATCTCTAAAATTTTATCAACCTGAAGTGATCCGATTGTATAATCATATAGTGTGAAAATTAATCTTGATGATTACTTTAAGATACTGGATTAAGCACAAATTAAAACACAAAGATAAAAAAAAAAGTTCAACAATGGTATATACGTTTTTACACTTGATAAATTCTGGAAAGAAAAAAATAAATAATCGAAAAAATTTAATTAATTATTATTGAGTGTCAGTAGAGGCTGCAACGATCGGCTTCCCTGATTGGTTGATTTTTAGTCATATACAAATCATTCACAAATTAAAGCGTTTAATTTGATTATTAGTATATTTTTTAATTTCAGTATCAAAACACGTGATTAATATTTAAAATAAATTTTTTAACACGTAGACGGCATGTCCTGCTTTCATATGTCTACGATTGTATAATTCAGTTTCAAATTTAACCGCCTGCGTAGAACAATTTGCGCACAATAAACGAAGAAGTTTTCTATTTTACTTTATTGCTGTTCCCTTATTGGTCGCCAATTCAACATTACCGTCATCTGCCGAATTAATTTTACAAACTAATTAACTCCGAAAGAGAGTTTGATCTAAGTGTGTATTAATATTAAATAAAACTAGTATATATATCTCATTTTAAAATCATACTTTTTAACTTATAATACATATATTTTCACATGTTACTTTGTTATCACGTATTATTATAAATAAATTCAGAATAATATTTTCCAATGGAGAACGTAGCCGATACGAAAGAAAATTTGGCACAATCAATACGACTTTTGAATCAAGAAAGTACGCAAAGAAAATCATTTTTAAGATTAAGTACTAAAAGTACTACACCAAAGAGAATATCTTTGCAACAAAGTGCTCATTCTCGCAAAGATGCCGAAGATACACTCAATCAACTCAATGATACACAAAGCCCAAGAATATCTTCCAGAAGTTATGTTAATACAAAGATGATGAAGGGTCATAATTATTCTGATATAGATATATCTTTGACTGTAGCACCTCATGAATTACGTGATATAATGGCATGTTCAGAAAAGAATGATATGACCATGCGAGAAATCATGGAAGATAGTAGTGTAACAGGAATTATTTTGAAAGCCAACGAACCATGGCGGGAAGTTAATACTAAATTGTATTATGATTTCTTACAATGCATACAAGCACATCTTTCTGAACTACAAGTGTTCGATACTATTGCTGATTTTATACAAAGTTGTACTGATACTTTGGAAATAATGAGAGGTAAATCTTATTTCTTAATTCAGGTGTAATGTAAGATTAATGCATGAATACGTTTTATTTATGTATTTATGTGCTTAATGTATTTATTCTTTGTTGTATGCTTTATTATAGGTATGCAAGCTAAGGTCGAAAATACAGCCTTATCTATGGAAGAAATATCATTAGAAAATGAAAGAAACACATGGAGACTCATATATTGTCTTTATCAAAATAGGGTAAACGCATCAAATTTTGATACTATGATAGAAGATAATTCCAATGTAACTTATATATCAGAGAAAAATGTAATAGAACATTTATATAAAACTGAAAGACAAGTAAGAGAATATCAATTGATTATAGATTGGTTAGAAAAAAATGCATTAGATCAAGCTAATAGATCGCCAAGTATAGAATGTTTTACCGATAAAACTGTTGCTTGGGAAAATACATTGTATCAGTTGCAAAATAAGAATATGGGAATGGCTTTTGGATCTTCCAGGCCATTAATAACTTCTATGGATCCTGATGCTCCTATAAGAGAAGGCAAACCTATTCATGATTTAGATAAGGAAGATGACATTAGACTTGAAAAAAGAATGTTTATAGAAGTACGTTGTGGTTGTCTTCAAAAAGCGCAAGCTTTATCAATTCATTGTGGTCAACCGTGGAGAGCTGCATGTTTATTAGGATGGGTACCTCATCACGATCCAAATTATAGTAATCCTCTGACAGATACTAAATTACCAATTATAGGTAATCCTAATAGAGATCTTTGGAAACAATGTGCTTGGGAACTTTCGCAGGATAAGCGTGTAGGTAATAAAATTCATGCATATTATCACTATATAATATCTCAGTGAACATTATATTATTACTCTCATTTATATATTTTCACTTACTCAGGTCAGTTTTATCGTGCTATTTATGCCAGTCTTTGTGGAAATGTTCAACAATTATTACAAGTAGCTATGTCTTGGCAAGATGCATTGTGGGCTTATATGAAAGGTCTCTTGGATGTTAAAGTTGAAGCAGAATTAAGAGATACAATGCCAAAAAATCATGCACCAATGCCCGAAGAATATTGGAAGAATAATATTTCGTTAGAGGAAATATTTAAGGAACTTCATGCATCCAAAAATGAATTGATACGCACTCAAGCTAATACACCGGATCATCTTATACAAAAGTATTTAATATTAGATCAAATTCCAAAGTTAATGGAAGAAATAGAAACAATGATTGATCTAGGAACTTGTGATCCTCAGTTTTTAAGATTCTTAGCGCATTTAATTCTATTTTTACGACAAACTGGAAAAAATATGAAAGATAAAATAGGAGATAAAGTATTACAGGCGTATGTTAGAGTTCTTATCAAAATAGGCGATCCAATCTTGATTGCATTTTATACAGCTACCTTACCACAGGAAGATCAAATATCAAATTATGCCTCGTATTTAGAAAATATTACCAATTTCGAACAACGTAAGAGATGTTTGACTGCTGCCGAAGATGCTAATTTGAATGTTGAAGCTATTACAAAGACAGTTGTTGAAAGTATACGTCAAAAGAATACAGAGGTTAAATCTGAGGATTTAAAGGGTGCTCTCACAGATGCCGATTCGGAAAAAATCAATGCTTTGGATTGGATTATTTTTTATCGGAACCAGCGAGAGGAAGCATTGTGGCAAACTAATGCACTAATAAGATATTTTCTTACCAACGACAAAATCGATGCTGCTCGCAAAGCTTTTAATAAAGTAAAAAAGAAATTAATTTATTAATAACATTAATTTAATTTCATCTTTAAAACTATTCTATATTTATATATATATATATATATATATATATATATATACATTTATTTCAGATCCCACCAGATTCTATTGAATCAGTTATGTCCGATTATTCAACTATGGAAAATACACTCGTAAACCTTACAATGACTGATAATTTATCAAAAAAAGCATCAAGTACTATTAGAGAATTTCTTTGTTATAAAACATATCTTGACGCACAGGAAGGCTTTTCGGAATGGTTTCATCACTTCCATCATGGTAAACCAACTCCATTGGAAGATTTATCAGTGTATGCAACATTCACTGAAAAAGTTGCTTATGATCATAAGAAGGCGCAATATAATACTGAATTAGATAGATGGAAATGTACTATGCAACATCATACCAAAGTATGTTTAAAATTGTATAATGTAGTTTTCAAATAGATTTAAAAAATGTTAATACTAATTATATTTTCTTTTCTCTATATCAGGCAGTCAAGCAGCTTTTATTTAACGTTCTTTTATTTCCTGATGGTGGTTGGCTCGTCGATACCAACAATAATTCACACGAAGTTGACGATAATGAATCAAATGAATCATCAATACAGGAAGAAGAAGTATTAAGGGAATATCAATTAAAAAAATTACGCAAATTATGCATTCCCAAAATTGCATTATTGTTACATACTGTCATGTCTGAAATGAATGAACATGCCGGTTGTATACAATTAGCCGATATCCTTGCGTGCGAGCAATATCAATTGTTTGAAGTATGCATTTCTGAAAAAAAAAATAAAATAAAATAGCACTTGCTATTTATTATTATACCTATATAAAATTTATCTAAAAATTAATTGAAATTTTTTCTTGTTTTTTTTACAGGTATTCCCTAAAGGACGACTTCGTGAAATATTTAAAAAAATTTGCGAATCCTCCCTCATTCTGATGGATCAGAAAAAGGATCCATGGGGATATCCAAAGTAAAGTAGCTGTAAAATATTTTTATTGTAATTTGTTCTAATATACAAATCTTTTTATAAAATCAGTTTATTGTCAACCACAAGAAGTGAATATAAAATTTGATACAATGTTCAATAATTTATATTAAACAATTAATACATTTTTTACCAAATAAGTATTTATTTTTAGATGTTTGTTTTATGTAGTTGCAAATAAATGCAGTGTAATACGTCGGAGATGTCTAGTAGATTCATGGAGAATAATATATGATAGGAATGACGAATAAATCGATCGTGATTAATCGATCGTGATCAATCGATCGTGATCAATCGATCGTGAAGCGATTTTGGCCGATCATAGCTGACAGGAGACGATTTTGAAACGCGAACGTAACTTATTGTTAGTCGCTTTTATGGAACAAACGGTCGTGGTTTATGTTTTACATGTGTTAAGTATTGTGTTAAGATTATTAGGTTAATTCCGACATATTTTTAAGAAAAATAGTCGATTATATATATTTTTGATGAAGTTGGCCTCTGATATATGGAGTTTTAAGTGTAAAGAAACTTGGTGGAGAAGTTATTAAGAAGGGACAATAACAAGTAAGAACAACTAATATCTTTGTTTTAAATTTTTCTTCTTTCTCTTCTTTCTTTCTTTTTTCTTTTTTTTTAATATCACTAATTTCATAAATTGCAATTGCCCATAATTCTGTTGTCTTCGAAAACAATCTGTATTTTTCTATTTGCATTCTTAGCGTCAATCAGGACCATCCTTATTCTTGTAAAATATTTGAATAATTATAATAATGGTAGCATAACTATAGTTACATGCTATTGTTGTAATAGTTATCATGAATATATGTTGTACTATTTAATAAACGTGCAGAACAAACGAGGATTATAGCAAATTGCAATTTATATGATTATTATGTGTTTATGTATTTGTGTGACAGAGATATTGATGACACCATATCAATGGTATTCATATTGTACAAAGTGATCCATGTTCTCGAATTCAACAAAATTTAAAGGCAATATTATAATGCATTGTAATGTGTTTACAACGTTCATAGTGGATGTTAATAATTACTTGAATTCATATCATCTTTCAATCATTCTCAACACCAATATCTACGATAAAAGGACAATATTTGATTTATTTACGTTATACTTATGTTTTAATAGCGATATCAAAGTAATATCATTTATTTATTTTCTCATACTAGACGAATGAAAATTTTGTTAAACAAAGCTTTTTATTATTATTATTATTATTATTATTATTATTATTATTATTATTATATATTTATGTATGAAGCGAAAAGAAATATTTAGAGAAATATTTTCTTGCTAGCGAGAACAGTCTTTTTTTTTATATTTCAATTCTATTATTAGCATTACGATCTGTTACAGTAACTTGAAAATTTGTATATTTTCTTTCCTTTTTTTTTTTATTAAATATACAAAAATGATTTTCGATGCTTTTCGATAGCAATGAAACCGCTGATTTTTTATTGTGCTTTAAAGCGTGTTTAAAACTAAAAAAATAAAGAAGATTTCTGATAAGCATAAAGAATTGTAAGAAACAAACGATAATGTATTTTGATGCTGCAAAGTGCTTTCGTAGAGAGAGAGACAATAATTTCATTCGGTCTCTTGTTTAGATTTTCTTTTTTCTATACTCTCTCTCTCTCTCCATCTTTTTGTTTTTATTTTATTTTTATTTATATTTGCATTTTTATTTTACATTAAACAATAAGATGAAGACTGTACATTTATAAAAGAGAGACAGTATTACAATCCAACGGGGATAAAAATTGGTTTCACACACAAAGCTGATGCAAGACAAGTTAATATGTACTTTCAAAACGTAACATCTTACAGAGTTTATTTGTTTTTAATAGTAGTTATCTTAAAAATACTTTCAAAGTTTCTTATAATTATCCTAAAAGAAATGAAAATATATCAGAAAGAAATATAAAATAAAATAAAATGAAATAAAATGAAGAGAAGAGATAAAAAAAAATAAAAGAAAAATGAAACCATACGCAATTGATTGATGTATTTTTACACGGTTCGATCATTGTCTTAACACACTTATGTAGTTGAAACATTCATCATTTAGATCCTCTCTTTTTCTCTCGCACACAATACATATAATTTATTTCGTATCACATCACAATAAGATGCTAAATAGAGAGTTAGAGAATCCGTTAATGCTTTTTATTCTTATTTTCTTTTTTTTTTCTTTACTTTTCTCACCTTTTTTCTTCTCTTTCTAAATGCTGCATATATGTACGCATGTGCGTGTAAGTATGGTATGTATATATATGTACTAAGTATTCATGATATTTCAAAAGGAAAATGAAGAAAAGTAGTATATTAAAATTAATAATATTGATGATGATAATAATATCAATAATAACCATAATAATAATAATAATAAAAATAATAATAATAAAATATATGCAACGTGTGTTATTATATACATATATCGTTCATTATAATTCATTTCACGGTGTAAATCATGCCGTTTATTGTTTACATTCTCGAATTAAAATTCGTATACGATTTTTTATTTTATTTTATTTTATTTTATATTTTTTATGTGTATGCGTGAAGTAGTATGTAATGTGTTTTATTAGTAATAGTAATAGTATTTAATAGTAATAGTAGGTAGTAAGATCTCTCTCTCTCCCTCTCTCTTTCTTTTTCTTTCTCTAACTTTTTTAAATTTTCATTTTAAATTACCAGATATATTCGAGCTCACTCGAAGCTAGAGATATGAGGATCTTCGATTACTTAAATTGAAAAGTGTGATATTTTTTATTAATTTTGTTTCCCTCTCATTTTCATTTCAGAGAATAGTAATATTACACGAGGATTAGAGATATTCACCATACATATTTAATTGTTTTCTAGTTTAACACGTAAACGATTCAAAAAATAACAAAAAAAAATAGACGATGTTTAATTACATATTATTATTAGTATTATTAATTATTTAATTATCTGCTTTTCATACGCTACTCGTACACATCCGATATGCAGTTATTATTTTGTTGTCTTCTTCTTTAAAAGAGAGTTCTCGATTATATACATACATAATTATGTATATAGTGAGTAGTACCCCTTAAAATCGTACACCGTTACTTGTAAGCTTTATTTATAACAAGTGAATTAAACAAATACGAAAATAATACATAGAAAACTTCTGTCATTAAATATCTATTAATATATGTCGAGTGTAAAAAAAAATTTCAATTTGATATTTTATTAGATGAAAATTTTCAATTTGAAGTCATCACTGTCAAGGAACGTTACAAAAAAATATATTTTAATTGAAACAATCGCAAATATTAATATAGTACAGTACTTGTATTGAATATACCTGAAATGATTGTAAATTAATCGATGTAACTGTCTAATATGGTATAAAAGCTCGGAGTATATGATCTATGTACCGTTCCCTTCGAAATTCGCCGTTGGACCGAGTCATTGTCCTCTATTAAATTATTTTTATTAAATTTTGTTTATATGACTTTCCGAGCGTTGCGCATGTGTATAACACAATTAATACTCGAAACAACAAGTTTCAATAAAAAAACTTTCATAGAGGATAAAGTATCACTAATAGTCTTTTTGTCAGTCTAACGATGGATTTCGAAGAGAACAGTACATAAAATTTATACTCAGTGGTTCTAGACAACAATTAACATTTTTTTTCGATTAGTTAACAATCATTTAAGGTATATTTAATACAGTATCGTACTATAATTATATTTTCGATTGTTTAAACTATAATACATGTTTTTATAACGTTCCTCGACAGTGATGAGTTTGATTTTAAAATTTTTATATAATAAAAATATGTATTATTATTTAAATATTACTTAATTATATCCACGTATATTATATCTTACGTAACGGTGTACGATTTTAAGTAACACTCATAGTATATGTATATACATATATTGCATTTACCTATTTCTTTTTTCTTGTTTTTTTTTCTGTTTACTTACAACCTCACGATAAATTATTTTAGATACGTATTTATTTATTTATTTATTTATTTCTTCATTTCTTTTTCTTCCTCTTCTCTTTTTAACTTCATTTTTAGGATAGTCAAAATTCCTTGATATTTTTTTGATGTGTTTTTAGTTTTGTTTTATTGTTCTTCTATTTCTTTTTATTTTTTTACGTGCATCGTCCATCTACGATTTCTCTTCGTTTTGT